TCAAAAAGTGGTCTTCCGGTAAGGAAGATAAAAAGAGTTTTTGCTAACCAAAGATATGTCTCTAATTTAGGTGTTGGTTCCTCTACTGAAGGCATGTAATCTCCTGATCAACTTAGGTGTTCTGACAGTATAATACAGATGCAGAAATCAAGACAATACATTTGTATTAAGGATCTATTCTTGCTTTTAATTGTAGAAAGAGATATTTTGGAGGAAATAAAGGGAATACAGTAAAACGTATAATAACAGAGTTTATGCAGTGAGACCCACACATGTGCTGTTTTATCAACACATCAGACAGTCTCATCTGGGCTGCAGATACTGCCCTGAAGGCAAATAGCAATGAAAAAACTTTTAGCCATGCCACAAAACAATCACCATTCCCACCTGCCATTTGTATGACACTTTCTCACAAATAAGACTTTCGTTTTGGTCAGAAATGTAATCTTTTTACCTGGGGCTGGAAGCCATAAAACAATTTATTTGTGGTTACTGAGGATTTACTTTTCTAGTAAAAATCCCAAATGCCTTCAGCAGGGATAAAGAATGTGTTTATCACCTCTTAGTATAACTGTATTTAGTAAATTTTCCTTTAGGAAAAAAAAAGTTCAAGGAATTTAAAGCTTGATTATAAAAATCAAAAGCACAAAATGGATTGTTATAAGGAATTTCTTTTGGTCAAGTTATTTCTTTGTGTATGTGTGTGCTTGAGCATGCTATGTGGTTGCAATGGTGTACATGTGGAATTCAGAGGTCAGAGAACAACTTTTGGGAGTCAGTTGTCTCCCTCCATTGTGGATTCCTGGGATCAAAACTGGGTCGGCAAGCTTGTGCAACAAGCACTTCTGCTTCCTGAGCTATCTCCCCAGGTCTAGGAATTGTTTTAATCCACCGAAAAGAAATTATTTGAACTTACATAGTAGAATTTACATAAGTAACAACTATTATTTATGTTTTTGGTAAGCTATCTGAAGCCTAGACCTATATGAAGCAAGTTATGAGTCTCTTGCTAAGAACAATCCGATTTGTTCTGATCGCTGACAACCTGGCATTGCTAGCTTGGTCAGGATGTGAGTCCCTTGGCTAAAAGACAATTTGTTGGAGAAGTCTGGAAAAGCAAGACTAATCAAGTCACATGACACCAAGAACTGACTCACTTTTTGAAGCTCAAGTCCTCTTTTAAAGGCAGCATTTTCCAAAGCCATACATAATACTTTTTTTCTTCACTATTTAAGAAAGTTAATGCTTAGAATTAGGGGGTGAAAGACTGGTATTATTTATAGATAATGCAATCAGACAAATGTGAAATGCCATGAATATTTTCATTTGGCAAAATATTAAATTATTCTAGGTGCCAGTATCTTTTTAATGACACATAATTCACATTCATAAAATGTATCCTTTCAAAGTACACGGCTCAGTTGATTTTTATGATACTCAAAATGATACCACCATTACTGTTAGTCTAACTGTGAAACACAATACTGTCATCAATTTCTTAAGAGGGCAGATGTCTACCGGCCATCCCTACCAATCCCCCCTTTCCTTAGCCTCTGGCAGCCACTAGGTAGGATATATTTTTGTGGCATAGAGCTTTCAGTAGTACGTGGCTTATACATGATTTCACTAAAATTTTCACATAAATTTAAACCATAGACTTCATAATTCATAAGTATTTTGAGATTATATTCTCTTATCATATGCTTTTTCAAACATATCTTCTTTATTCATAAAAATACTGTATGTCTGCTGAAATCTAAAATATTTCCATTTTTCTCAACTAAACTCTGATCTTACTTCAAAGTGAGAAAAATCAATACCTCAGTATTAATAGGCAGGAATCACCAAAGGCCTTAGTATCTGTGGATCATTGGTGCCCTCCTGCTGAAAATGTTACAGAATCTGATAGGCCTTTAAAGCCAAGCTATTTGTCTTTGGAGGGGAGCACACCTAATGTGGACTGGTGACACACCCATCCCTAGTTAACCAGGCTAGTTAACATTTGCTAACACTGGCCATTTTGCCAAATGAAAATATTCATGCTAACTCAAACTACTCCATAGTTTGAAAACATCATCTATGATATAATGCCAGTCCTCTCATTCTCATGAAATGAGTATGAAAGTGTTAACTTCCTTAAATAATTAACAAGAATGAAGTAACAGTGTTGTGGGTTAACTACAAAACCAGTTACCTCATGAATTACATCAATTGTTTCTCTATAGCGTTCATCTGAGCGTGTAATGTATTAACACATTATTTTTTAAGGATCTATAGTATCAGAAAGCGCAAGTGGTTCACTGAGATACAGCAAAGAAGAGCTGTAGTTACACAGGACAGGAGAATACGACTCAGACTTATCATGCTGTGATTCTCAATAGGACAGTCAATACGATGTACCACTCCATTAAGAACCAAAGTCACAAATTAACCATTGCAGCAATTCTTCATCTGTAGTGACTTTCTGGAAGTGGACCTAACTAGACTGGTGATGGATTTGCTGTCGTCATCCTCTGTCCTTTTTTTCACTTCCCTGGGAAGTAGAGGGAAATACAAAAGTAATAAAAACAGTAACACTGAGGGTGTGCTTGGGCCGTAATGATACACACACACACACACACACACACACACCCCACATATACACACATGCATACACACACACACACCCGCACGCATATACATGCACACATGCACATACACAGTTCAGCACTCAACAGTGGGGACTCTGGGCTTCTATCCCAAGTAATGTTTGATATCATGCACAAGAGCAACAGCTGTCTTCTATAGACAGATTTTAATCACATATGATGATGGAGATAACAACGGTTCATTGTTATCCCTTGAGTCCTACCTTAGACAACAAGAGTAACTATCACTCTGGGTGAGATCATTGTGACAGCACATCTTAAACATGACCTCAGATAATTCCACATTTCCTTGTCAGTACATGGTGCACCCTACGAAGAGGTAAAGCTCTGCCCCTCCCTTGGGTCAGCACTGGTCCTCAGCTGACACTGAACATGAAGGACATCATTCTCCAGTACCTCCAACAGGTGTTTGGTTTCTTTAGCCTTCTCCCTCTTGGAGTCTTGCACTGCTAGTCATGAAGTCCAGGGCTCTTCAATTGAGAGAGGTTATGAGAATGCCAAAGGGACTAAGATGTCATATGCACAGTGGCCACAAGGAGGAGCACCTTGGTGGCAGATATCAGGCTGGAGCTAAAGGTCCAACCATCTGACTGTTATATAAGAAGTTAAGCCCCTCAGTAGAGGACACTTCCAGCTGAGGTTCAGCTAGCTCTGGTAGTATTAGAAATAAGAAACAGTTGTAGTTTAGGTAGCAATGTTATTAAAGAGGAGTTCACTGAAATTACTGGGAGTCTTTCCAATAGAGTACCATTGTTCAATAGAAATGGTAAATGATCATCTTGCAACCTCAAACTTTTAGTAGATACATTAAAAAATTTACAGAGAAACAATATGAATTACTTTTATTAATGTATTAATAATATACTTTAAATTATGTAGTATAAAAATAATAAAATCATGGTGCTAGAGAAATGACTCAGCAGTTAAGAACACTGGCTGTTCCTGCAGAAGACCTGGGTTTGAATCCCAGCACCCACATGACAGCTAACAACTGTCTGGAACTCCAGTCCCCGGAGATCTGACAGGCTCTTCTGACCTCCACAGGCATTGCACGACACAGGTGCAATTACCTACATACAGGCAATACACGCATACACATGAAATAAAAATAAATACATTTAAAAAAAATATATAAAATCATTTCTGCTTCAACCAAAAATGGTTTAATACATAAAGCACATGTCAGTTTGGATTAGCCATGTTGCAAAGAAGCCTATAATTACCATAGTAGCCAACAGAATGAGAAGATTCTGCTGTATCCTAATTTGTAAACCACTGTGGATCAGAAAGAAAGTTCTCAGTATGGGGAAAGGAGAGACAGAGCGAGCACCAGAGTATCCTGAAAGCCTCAGACATCAGATAGAACCTCTAGATGAAGCCACTACAGTTGTGGAAATCTGTATGAGAAAATGGAAAATTAATACAGCTTCCAAATGCAAAGCCTTGTGTATTAATCATTTAATAAATGTTCCACCAATGCTGAGATATAGACTCTCAGTTATAAAGCTCTGAGGGAAACATAGCTATCTAGAAAAATAATTATAGGGTCACAAGAAAGTAGTTAACATGCAAATACAGTATGTTGGCAGATAAAAGGTGTTTCATGGGGATGCTGACACTGGAAGGATCGCTTGAAAGAATTGGGGTTCATCTGCAGTCATTAAGTGGGGATAATTTTGGGTACAGAAAAGCAATGTGCATAAAGGATAAAGCCTAAAAGAACTTAGTCATTGTTTGGTTATAAAGTTTGCTGTGTCTACAGATTATTATTCATTTTTCCAAAAATGGATTCAAGTAAAGAGAGGTAAGTGAAATGAAGTCACAAAGGGAAGAGCCTGGACTTCACATTATACATAGAGTACAAGATGTGGTGGTGAGCTAAAACAGAAACATTAACTGCAGATTTAATTATAAATTTTATGCTAGGGCTGGGGGATGTCTCAGCAGTAAAGAGCTTGACTAGTGCACACATAGTCTTGGGTTCTATGTCCAGTACTAAAAGAAACTGCAAAAGCAAAACCAGGTAACCAAACAAAAATATTAAGATTGAACTGACACTACATTTCAACATCTAAACCAAAGCCAAGGAAGAGAAATAACAGTGTATGATTGAACAGAAATACATAAACATTATTACATAAATTGCACTCAACACCCACTGGAGGTAAGGTGAGTCAAGACTTATGTACAATTGGGGCTGGAGAGACGGCTCAGCAGTTAAGAGCACGAGCTGCTCTTTCAGAGGACCTAAGTTCAGTTCCCAACACCCACATCGTAGCTGAACAACCATCAGTAACTCCAGTTCCAGGAGATCCAACAACCTCTTCTGGCCTCCATGGGTAGTGCACAACACAGCTGCAGGCAGACCACTCACACATATAAAATAAAAATAACTAAATACAAAAAACTAATAATAATATGCACAATTACTATGTGTCAATAAAAATGTAAAACTTCATGCTAAATCATTCAAATTTATGGACAGATTTATAGCTAATGAGCTCATCTCTAGCACTGAACTAAAACACCTGTGTTTTTTTTGTGTTTCTTTAATTTGGGGCTATTGCCCAATTAAATTCTTATTGTACCTGAATCATCAGAAAAAAAAAAAAAACTGCATGCCTAAAACTATGTACCTGTTTGTCTGTAACTAGAGATCGTTGTCCTAGTTTATGTGCATTTACTTTTTTTAATGGAGGGTACATCTTTCCTTTATTCCAATAAGGAATTAGTGATAGAATAAGCAGAAAATAAAAATCTAAAGGCAATATTTTCATTTTCTAGTAATACTTAAAGAATTGACATGCATATTCATATGAAAATATTCTAATGATGCAATTTTAATCCATACACCAAAATAATATGTTTTCTCAATACCACTACCTTAGTCTAATAATTATACAGCAAGCAATTCAGACACTGATTTCCACTGGCATAATGTTCAATTTGCTATTTTTGGTTTGCTTTTCTCTATTTACTCAGGAAAACGTCTTAATAGGTTTAATAATAACAATCTGTTATAATTAAAATTTGGTTTCAGTAAATGATTCTAAAACTGCTACATTTCTTGGCAATGTTTTACATAAACTGCAGTGATGCTGCAGATATATCTCTTTTATTTGACAGTAAAAATGTTACCAGTTTTCATTATGAAAGAGTATAATCACCACCTCTTTAAAATAGATATGTATTGTTTTTCTTGCCATGACTGACAGAAGGAAAGGACTGCGTTCTGCAGCAGACATTCTAAATGAATGTTAGGATCGAGAAATCTGAGAACAACTAAGTGAGAATTCAGTCCTGCACTGAGTTTTCTAAACACAAGGCGAAACTTTACCGAGCAAGATGGAGAACAGCTTCCACCACACTGGAGCCATCCTTGGCACTTGTTTCACAGAATAATGCCCCATAGGTCTGTAGAAAAGAAGCATACGCAGTTCAAAGATGGTTTTGATTAGATTTTCTGAAACTTTAGTTATTAAAATTTTAAAATTCAGTTTCCTATTGAGCAGAGTTAAATACTTAAATACTTAAAAATACTTAAATATTTAAATACTTAATACTTAAATAAATGCTTAATAATACTTAATACTAAATACTAAATAATACTTAATAATACTAATTAATACTTAAATACTTAATACTTAAATGCTTAAAAATACTTAAATACTTAAAAAAAAAACCTACCTGCCAGGTATGGTGGCTTATGCCTATAATCCCAGCATAGAGAGAAAGAGGAAAAAGTGTGCTTTTTGACCCAGTGGTTCAGGTTATCCTTCATACTGTCAGCTTCTGCTATCAGGATCTAGAGCCAATGAGGTACTGAAATGAACAGTTGGCTCTAGTCTATAGTCAGTGTCCAGCAGTTACCCCCATGTTCATTGCTTACATCACACTTCTGATTCTAACCATCCAGCAACTCCCATCCTTGCTCAGGTGAGATTCAAATGCTTTTATATAGCCAACCAGGCCCTGTTGATGTGAAGTTGGGTTAATCTCCAAGCTTTATCTTCAATTGTATTCCTTTGCTCATAATCTGCAGGTACCTTGGTCTTCTTGTATTTCTCCAGTGTCCCAAATAGACACTGACCCACAGGACTTTTGTACATGTTCTTCCTAATACCTAGGTCACCCCCTACCTCACTTCAACTGACTCCTACTTAGATTTTGGATTCTTTGGTAACTATTCCTTGAAGTTAAGATATTATTAATACTGAAAAGTGCTTACATACTTTATATATTTATATATAAATACTCAAGTATTCCTAAGATAAACCTCAGGGAGAAAGAGACTTGAAGTTGAAAATAAGAAAAGACTACATAATGGGGCCTCCACCTGGAAATCCTGCAAATCCACAGAAAATCTGTACAATTAACAAATTCAGGTTTCTAGTAAAAACAGTACTTGGGTTGATTCCATACAACAGGTATGAAAAGAATCACTAAAGTAAATCTTGAGCATATACAAGAGCAAGTCGTGAGATGCACGATGGAGCAAGTTTGAGAATTCAGAAGAAAGCTAACTGAGGAAGAGTCATTATTAGGTCTCCATGGGGATATGTGGAAAAGAGGTTGGCATATGACCCTAAGTGTTAAATATCAGATTATACCACACAGTGATCTGTGCAAGGGAGATGACTAATCCACAGAGTGAACTACACAAGGAGAAGAATATCTCCAAGACAGTGAACAAAACAGTGATGCTATGTGGAAGACTATGCAGCTCAGAGAACGATGTAGGGATGAGTACCTTAAACATACTGAATTACACAGCAATGAGGAGCATGTCTAACAGTGAAGTTCATAGAGGTGAGGAAAACTGTCTCCAATACAGAGAATTACAGAGGTGAGGACTACCTCCATCTCCTTGGCCTATACAGGGGTAAAGATTGTCTCCAACATAATGAACTACACATGGGTGAGGATTACTTCCAACATAGTGAATACACAGACATAAAGACTATCTCCAAAATAGTGAGCTACACACAGTGAAATCTGTGTTCTACACTGAAACTACACATAGTTGAAGACTGTTTCTAAGAAAATGAACAATAGAGAGGAGAGGACTGTCTGCAACACGGTAGAGATTCTAATACTAGACAGTATACCTGGATTCCTATACTAGAGAAAGATTCCCAGATGTATCTGTGAAGAAAGGTGGAAAATTATTTTGCCTGGTCTTTGTCAATGACAAGCACTAGGAAGGTAGTGAAGGTGTTATCTTTGTGTGATTTTCTTACACTTAAGCAGAGGCAGGAAGATCTCAAAAGACAAATTTCATATCAGATAGGGAGGAGGCTTGTCTAAGAACCTTTTAAACAAAGTTTGTCAAAAATGAAAGGCCACTCAGTTCAAGAACACTAATCTGTTGTGATAGTGCCTAATTTGGAACCATCCACACTCTTACCATGGCCAGTTTTTCTCCAAGAAACCCTGAGATACATTTTTGGCCCTCTGAAGTAGCAGTATTATGAAGATCAGCCTTGTTTCCTATCAACATGATAGGAATAGTCTTGTGGGAGGCATCCTAATGAGAAGAAACAAAAACAGTGGGCATATATCAAACACTGTATCAACTATGATTCTGTGACAATAGTAATAGCAGCTGTGGTTTCCGGTTGTCTCTGGGCACCAAATATTGTATCCATAATCATTTATAGTCATGTTTTAGTACAGCATACTGAGTGGTTATTTTCACTCTCTAAGTCTTACTGCCAATTGCAATAATTAAATTGCTAATATTTAAGATGATATTTTAAAATTTCAGCATGTCTCAAAATATATTTCTTCCCCATTTGCAAGTGAGAACACTGAAATTCAGAAAAGTGAAATAAGTATATCTAAAGGTCAACATCTGGGTTCATACTGATTATACAACCCCTCAACACTACAGTGTTCCATCCTTAGGTAACAGAAAGGAGAAAAAGTGTGGAACTATCTGGCTGCATAGCATACAGTACACTGCAATAGAGTACATAGCTGAGGGGTATGGCCACAGGATTTTATTTGGCTGGAATGTCCATAGGATGTTGCAGGACAGCTTCCTCTTCAAACAACAGTCATTCTACTAACTGAATTATCCCAGGTACAAAGCACAGATCATTTTTAGCTATTAAGGTATAAAATTGGGGTTCAAAATTCCACACTCACTACTCAGATTTAGAACAAAGTAAAACGGGCAATTCCTAAAGATCAAGTCTTCTTACAGTCAACAGTCAATCATTTAAATTAATAAATTGTAAAGCCACGCCATCAGCATATGCAAATTGACATGCTGTCCCAGAAGTCCTAGTCTGTAGGGAGAAAAGGATCATAGGGTATATTACAGTTTGGTAGCCTATGAGACAAATGATGCAACAGCCAGTTGACATCACAGAAACATTAAGTTTCTGGCTTCTAGTCATGAGAAGCAGCAGCCCTTCCACAAACATGTGGAAATTAAATGGGGTGTTCATATTCAGTTTGGTATGTTCTTAATACAGGATTAAGACATGGGTCTAAAAATGGGACTATACTGGACTTACTGTCTTTGATTTAAGAGACATGAGTGTAGTTAATAAGGGGAGAAGGGAGCACAAGGTCCTCCCCTGAACTCACTGTCCAACCCACTCACATGCTCATGAACCGTATTCTTTGGTGATCTCTCCAGGATTCATTGAGAAGACATTAAGCAAAAATTTTGTAATGTTAGCTAAGAAGCTGAGTGTCTAAATGACTTCTCAAAATCTAATAAGCAAAATATGGCATCTCTTTAAGCCTTGAATTAGTAAACACTACTTTCTCCATGAGAGTATCCTGGCCCCACTAAGGAAAACTACTCACTGCCTCACCACAGGGCTCATCACTCTCCCTCCTGTCACTTCTTTAGTATTTGCCAAGTCCTGACACACTATGTCTTTGCTCTTCTTAGTCTCTGTGTCTGCCACTAGAAAACTAGGTTCCTTGAGGACAACCTCGTCACTAACAGATACGTCCCACACATCTGATTCATTGCATATCCTGGGCAAGAGCTCAAAAATTTCTTTTGAATGTATAGATATAGAGATTCTACATCTCAGTTACTCCATTCAGCTTTCTCTTCCAAAATAACTCTAAGAATTCACCTTGAATACAATTTTCTTCCTTTTCTGACCCCATGAGAAAATGATACCAATGGCTGAAAGGCTCACTTGGCATATGCACAATGCGGTGGTCACACTGCATAAGGGCATTTTCTTCGGAGAATGATGTTACATTTTGAGTTTCCTTTTCTTGAGCATAACACAAAGCCTGAAAATGAAGACTAAGCCCCAAATTTTAACAATACAATGTTTTTCTCAGGACTCACTGCTGTAGCTCACAAAGCTTTCCTTGTTCCATGAGAAGATATGGGCTGGATCTTAGGATTCCTTTCTTTTCATCATAGGCTTCTGCTATGAATTTGTTACTTGCTCTGAGGCTTTACCAAAGTAATGGCCAGTGTTAAATCAAGAGGTTCATCATGAGTCACTGTTTTATTCCTAAACACTAAATATTAGGAACACAAGCAAGTGTCATACTTTCTATGTCCCAGGATTCTCATATACATAAAAATATGTTTCTGACTTATTTTCTCAGACATTAGAGGAATGAATGTAATATATAGATAATTTTATAAAGTAAAATATTACATAAATAAATATAACTTCAGTTACATTTATAGTGATTTTAAGATATGAAGTTTTAGTGGCTATTATATTTAGGTATATTATTTAGGTATCTTTATCATTGTTGAAATCTTTTTTCATCCCTTCTTTAGTTAGTAAGAATACATTAATTCCATAGGCAAAGTTGAGGTCAGATAGCAGTCTTGTTCAGCCATTGTTACAATATGCTTAAAATAATAATATATTTACTTGAAAAGTTGCATTTGATTTATATTTTCAAGAGAATATGTTGATTCATAGCATGGCCTATAGTTTTTCTGCTGATTAATAAGGGTTGGCAGTATACTGAATGTGGTCAAAATCACTTCCTACCTTTAAAAATCATTCATGAAACCAAATAATAAGAAAGCTCTTTAGGAGAAAGATACCATCTTATTTAGCACAAACATTCCCTACCCCACATGTTTAAAATGCTAATTCCTAGAGGCATCTTGTGATGTCTAAAGACCCCACACCATGATCAGAATAAGGTTGATAGTATAGATTTTGGATCCTGGCCCATGCTCACATCCCAGTGACTATGTTTCTAATACCTCCACCATGCTGCACATCCAACCCCACCACTTCTTGTTTGTAAATGTTGCTTTATTGGTTACCTAGAAATTGCTTCATTACACAGGGTTTCTATTTTATCTATAAAGAACCCAGAGGTTGCTTTTTATATTATTATTATTTTATATTTTTACAGACACTGTCTGGAGAAGTATCTATGGCTTTGTAAAAATTGTGCAATACCCTGGGAGGAGACCCGTGTACCTAGTGCCCTCGGAAGTTGTCAGTTTTCCTGTCACAATAGATTATGGATCAGCATCTTCTAACCATGTTCACACCAGTAAAAAGTGATGGCATTTTTCAAGAAGGTTTATGACCCCGCCATAATTTTCCATTTCTTCATTGTGATCCTTACCTCGATCATATCTACCCATTCTCGTACGTTAAGAAAGCTTTTTTCACATGTAACATCATAGAGCAGCAAGACCCCATCTGCTTTTCTGAAGTAAGACTTGGCGATACTTCTGAATCTGGTGAACACAGAAGCCCATCATTAACCTGTCATCTGGGTGCTGCCTTACTTGTGAAAAGTCAATCCTTTCCTCCTCTAGGTAATCCCAAGCATAACTAACCCTAAAGTATAGCTACAATAATGATGAAAGCATGATTTAAACAATTTCAAACCCAGAAACCAGCTACCAGAACAAGTGGGGCACCAAAGAGGTCTATCTCAAAAGTAAGGTGGAGAGTCACTAAAAAAGACATCTGACATTGACCTGTGACCTCCACATGTAAACACACACAAATGCTGAAACTCACAGTTGACAAAAGAACTGAGCTCCAAAGGGGCTGAATGGTTTTTTGGGGGGTTTTGTTGTTGTTTATTTTTTTAGGAAAAGAGATTGTTTATTAAGGGAGAGATGATGCAGAGGAGTCTGGAGGTGTGCCATATCTTGCCTGTGGCTTGGTTTTAAGAGGCCAAAAACAGAAAAGGGGTGAGGTGAGGACTGTAGTGATGAAGGGCAGGAATTATGTTTCCTTCCTCTTTACTGAATCTTAGCACACTTAATAGTGCATGGTGCAGAGGCAGGCGACTCAAACCCACACACTGCACTACTGAGTAGATTTTGACCTCAGAGTGTTAGATAAGATTAAAACCCATGCTTCATGCTTCATACTTCTGGTCACTGGCAAGGAACACACGATATGGTATCACCAGAAGTGTGTTTGCCACTTAGTTGGTGTCTTGAACCAAGGGAATCTGACAGGGTCTCTTCACTATCACTTAGTGCTGCCCAGTTAAATATTCTTCACACTGCCACCGCATTCAGGAGTGTTGCTTCCCCTCACCTGCAAAGTGTGCTCTCTTTACCCCACTCAAACATCAGTTCACAGGAAGCTGAAAGACCTTCTTCTCATACAACTGATACATACATTTAGGAGGAGACAATGCAGGAAAAGCTCAGCATTATTGCTATTACAGTGTATTTTATTATATACATGTACAATCTTGAGGCAGAGTAATATAATTATAAATATAAGCAGTACAAGCAATCCTACAAGGCATGTAGTGTCATGCAAAGTACTCGCCTCTCCTGGCCAGCTGTATCCCAAAGCTGCAGAACTGTCTGCTCTCCATCCACAATCAGAGTCTTCATCTGGAAATCAACTCCTGAAACATAATTATCAGAGCTAATTCCTTAAGTTCATGATTTAGATGAGAGAAAAGTCAAAAGCCAAAGTAGCAAGGGCTGCACATTGCCCTCAGGAAATAAGGCAGATCACATGTGTGTGGAATGCACCATCTGCAGGCCAGAAGGCCTGGAGAAAGACTTAATCGATGGAAATGGGAAAACTCAATCTTTTTTCCTAGATGATTAGACAAGCTTAGTCTTATTTATGTCATGTAAAATTATGTAATGCATATGAAGATATATGCATATGTATGTTGTATACATACCACAAGAGTATGCATATTGTTGTGTTGTGTGTATGTACATACATGCTCACATGTGTGACACATGCACACACATCTACATGTGTTTATTTAAATATATGTATATATGCAGGCATGTATGTTTTCTAGTACCAGACCAATTTTGAATTTAGTTTTTTTTTTATTAATTAAGTTGATGTAAAGTTTCTGCTTTGTTATCCTTAAAGGTTTATCCGAGAATCATAAATTCACAAAAATATCCATTGTGATGAACACAATCAAATGTTCTAGCATTTCTGGTTATCTAAATAATTCTTTGATGAAGAAGAAAAGTAAATAATAACCTTCATATTTTAAACTTTTACTGATTATTATATAAATTTGGAAAAATCAAGACACTACTTAATCATATTTTATCATGAAGGTGGAGAAGGGAGCATGCAACTGGATATAAATTTGACCTTAACCTTGAATTTGCCAAGGACATTGTCAAGATCTCTCAATATCCAAGGACACTACCAAAATGCTGTCCCATGTAAATATGCACTTCTTTCCAAGTCTCTTTGTTTAAAATTCATTTTTGTTGCTTTCCTTCATTGGAGTATAAGTTTTGAAGACAAAGATTAAGCCAGATTTCTTCATTATATACTCTTACCGCTACCATATGCCCAGCTCATAAAGGCTCAGAAATATATGCTGAATAAAACAATCTAGAGTCTTTAGAGGTGGTTTTCTTGATCACCTGGATAAGGAAATTTTTGTCTTCTGTCCTTTTTCCTTTGCTAGATTTCAGCCAAATAAAGGACTATTCTATAGACAAAGGGACACACACACACACACACACACACACACACACACACACAAACGTGCACACCACACACAAAGCAGGATGTGCTTATCTGTGCTTCTGAAATACACAATCCCTAAAGAAAAGAAAATCAAGCTAGAGATGGTAATTTTTTCTGTCATCATTGAAATATAAGCCATACCCAGGGTAGCACTTGTATTTCCTCGAAATTCATTCTTGCAGAGTCTCATGAGGAAGCTGGACTTCCCCACTGCAGCATCCCCAGCAAGCACAATCTTGTAAGCCTTCTGAGAGCTGGGAGGTTTGTAGTTGTCATCTGCCACATCTGTCTGGGGGAAAACAGCCACATAAGGTGGTGTAGGGGTGCCAATTTTCTTGCTAAATAACACATGAAGAGCAGAGTCTCTGAAGCTACCTACCTGAGGTGAGAGAGCAGAGATGGGCTTTCTGGAGGAACCAAAAGTGCTGCCTTCAGTAACAGACCCTTGGGGTTTCCAGTCTAAGACAGAGGCCATACTTTCAGAATCATATGTTTCTTCACCCCCTATACCAGGAACCTATTATAAAAGATCAACAACTAAAAACAAAGTCTTTGACACATGTACATCATGGATCAAAGAAAATAAACTATGCTGCTGAGTTGTATAATCAATGTGATTATTGGATAGAGTGGCCCTACATGGCAAATATATAAGAATTCCTCCCTAATTGGCTAGAAAAGAATCATTGTAATGACTAAACTCTGTATTCATGACCTTAACAGCATATTCTTATGACAGGTACATATCAAATATGCTGGAAGATGATAGTCAAAAGAAGCCATCAGCGGGCAGTGGTTTCTGGGCTTACATCTGTGTCTGATGCATCACCCCCAAGGCTCTCCTGTGTTCCATGCAAACTCTGAAATCCTCTCTGGTGTTTGTACTCTGCTTCAGAATCATATTCATTAGAGTCTCTCAGGGTAGACAAACCGCTGTCAAAGCAACTCTCAGGCAGGCTGTCAACTTCGTAATTCATCCTCTGCATAGGGTCACAGAGAGCCAATGATTCATAGTCTCCTTCGATGTAAGAAGAGTGAGATGACCTGGTAATAAAGGAGGAGACTTTACCAGGGAGTTCACAATGCTCATGAGCACATAGGGGACAGGTTGACAACATTGTCCTTTGTGAAGAGATACAGTGTGTTCCCTGGCTAAGTATCAGGGAGAGGAAATGGGCAAAGCACAATCAGTTCATTCTATGCAAGAATCTATGATGACAAAAACCCTCAAATAAAATAACTCATACATGCAACTTTTAAATTATTTGTTCTATTTTTTAAAAGGTTTTATTTATTTATATTTTATGTGTATGAGTATTTTGCCTGCATGTATGTAAGTGTACCACTTGCATGCCTGGGACCCACAAGGCTAGAAGAGGACATTGGATCCCCTCGAACTGTAGTTAAGGATGGGTGTTAGCTACCATGTGGGTGCTAGGAACTGGACCCAGGTCCTCTACAAGAGCAGTCAGTGCTCTTAACCACTGGGCCATTGTACAAGTCCCCTACCTGTTCTATTTCCTGATGCAAACAAAGTCCAATGTATAAATACAATCTTAAGCTATTTCAATAAAAATATATCCAGAACATATGACTTCTTTTATAATATGGTTAGACTGTAGTCTGAATAATGTGTCTATTTCTATATAGCAACTCTATTTTTTATTTTTTATTTACTTGTTTTGCTTTTTTTGAAACAAAATGCTGTGGGAATTTTCCCAGGGTTGGGGGGGGCACTAGACAATGTCTGTCCCACTCTTTCTAAGGTCCCAATGACAAACCAAGGTTTGATTGCACCAAATTTCCCCTAGGGAGCCAATGAGTTTATTTGGCTCACAGCATCACTGGATGGCTTCTGCACAGCTACAGAGATGGTGCCCCTCTCCCCTCCAACTCCCCAGTGTATAGCTCTTCCACAAGACCCCTAGGTTACATGCAATTAGGAAAAAAAATGTATATAACTGGCTGGAAGGAGTGGATAGATACTCAGATGAGGGTCTCATGACAATTCCTGCCCTCTCTTTCTATGAGGGAAGGCCAACAGCCAACAAGTCCAGCTGTGATGATCTTTTGCAAACAGGCACAACTGAACTAATAAAGATTGTTATAGTTTGGCTCAGTCTTGTACAACTCAGAATTTTACTATATAGTGCAGGTATCTTTATGCTCATAGTGCAGCCCTGGTGAGCCTTGAGTTCAAGGTCCTCTTGCCTCTACCTCCCAGGTGCTCAGACTGTGGGTATGTGGGACATTAGCCAAGTTATTTCTGCATAAAATGTCTACTAAAGGGAGAACCCAGATATAAAAGGCTAATCATACTAATGTGAGCAATGGTTTGGTATACTCAATTTAATTCTTAATGGTTTTACTCTTCAAATACGTGATGAACTGAAAAACACAGGACATGATTCTCAAGTTTCACAGGATCAAATAGAGGCCAAGAGGTAAAATTTAGCATGAATATACCTACATTATAGTAATGATAGGCAATGAAAAAGGCATGCTCCTGGAATGGTCTAACACAGATAAGTTTTATGTCACTCAGTGTTAACACATGGTCTAGAAAACCCCTTACAGAAGAAGCTTTAGTGACATGCTTCAGACAAAAGTTCTAACTCCTGACTCTGAACCATAAGAGTCCTCCCATTTCAAAATTCTAAAACTTTATGACTGTGGGAAAAGTTAACATCAAATATGAAAATTCAAAGAGACTGCATATTTTCCCATTGATTTTGCCTTATTATTTCCTTTTTTATTGAGCTTTTAAAATTTCATACAACATTTCCCACTCACATCCAGATGCCCTCCCCCATCAGTGCCCCCTTCCCCCCAACTGAACCCCATGGACTCTGCCATACATACTTAGTCCTATTCATTCAGGTGTTTGTACCCAAATGTCCTTCAATGTAAATGCATCCACTGGAGTCTAGTCAGCCCCATCCAGTGGTTGTATGTAAGTCATACTCTCCCTCACCCAGCAGCAACCAGTCTCAAATGGTTCTCAATCTAGTGCTGACCCACCAGCTATTTCTCACCTCCCCTTTGGGCCCTTGTTTAATTGAGCTGACATGGGTACTGCATTGGATGCCACTGCTGCCCCAGGCACACATGAACATGCCTCCATTGGCCTGGAAGCTTCCACCTCATACGTTCATCAACAAGCCCTGGCTCTTACAATCTTTCTGTCTCCTCTTCTGCAATGGTCCCTGAACCGTGGGTGGGTGAGGCTCCATATAGGAGTAAGAGTCTACACTCTACAGTCTCTTATTCTGCAAAGCTTGGCCAGATGAGGCCTTCTGTGTGTAACATACTCTGATGTACATGGAAGCCTCACTGGTGAGAGTTGAGGGGTTCATTAGCCTTCTCTCTACCCCTTATTCTACTATATTCCATGAGCCTTGGTTGTAGGAATTTGAGTGCCAATGTGTCACCTAGTACCAGGCATCTCCCAGGTATGTTCTCTATGCCTGACTAGATGTGCAACCCTGTAGTAGACTCCATCTGTTGTAAAAAGAAGTTTCTTTGATGAGTACTGTATGGCATGTTATTTGCTCTAAGGGTGGTCTCTTCTCTCTCGCACTGCATTCCCTTCCAAGTAGTTCCTAGGTATACATATGCATTAATGTTCAGACACTCTGCCTGCATTTCTCATAGGGTATCTAGGGCATCACTTTTCCCTCTAGGTTTCCTAGGCCCCAAGATTCACTCACCTCTACTCCTTTTTCTCCCATCTGGCCTCCTTCCTCTTTCCCTTTCTAGTCACAGGGTACCCATTATTCTCACCCTCCCCCAATACCTCCGGAACCTTTCCGTTCCTGACTTCCCTCCCTCCCCCACACCATGGTCCCTTGCATGTCCCTCCTCTCCTCCCTGCTGATTACTCCCACTTTTTCCACCTCCCTCAGGTGACATCTGTTCCCTATTATCCCCCTTTCAGGTTGTTTCTTCTCCTTTACCTCCATTTATCCTTTGCCTTTACCTGGCTCCTGGAGTTACATTAGAATTTAAATGCTCACATAAAAGGAATTGCTGCTACAATCCACAAATGAGGGAAAACATATGTCACTTGCTTTTCCACATTTGTGCTATTTCACTCTCTAGCTCCATCCATTTACCTGCAAATTTCATAATTTCATCTTTTCTAGCTGCTGAGTAGAACTCCATTGAGTAGATGTACTGCATTTTCATTAAACATTTGTCAGTTGAGGGACATTTACATTGCTTCCATTTCTTAGCTATAGTGAAGAAAGCAGCAACAAACATGGATGTATGGGTATCTCTACAGACCCGAGAGTCGTTTGGTTATATGCCAAGGAGTCGTATCACTGGATCATATGGCAGGTTCATTGTTAGTTTTTAAGGGTGAGGGTTCATTACACTGCTTTCCACAGTGATTGCACAAGTTTTCATTCCCGCCAGCAGTGAAGGAGTGTTCCTCTTTTTCCACATCCTCTCCAGCATTTAGAGTCTCCATTCTCTTGATTTTGGCCAATCTGACTGGGGTAAAATGAAATCTTGAAGTGATTTTGATTTGCGTTTCTCTAATTACTAACGATGTTGAGCAGTTTTTAAGGTACTTCTTGGTCATTTTTATTTCTTCATTTGAGAACTCTCTGTTTAAGTCTATCGCCCATCTTTTTCTTGGGTCTTTTATCTTCTTTCTTTTTTGGGTTCTTTGTATGTTAATCCTCTGTTGGATGTGTATCTGGTGAAGATTTTCTCCCACTCAATGGGTTTTCTCTTCCCTTCCTTAGTTGTTTCTTTTTTTCTTCAGAAACTCTGTAATTTGATGAGGTCCCATTTATTGATTGTTGACCTTAGTGCCTGAGCAGCTGGTGTCTGGTTTAGAAAGTTCTTTCCTATGCCTATATCTTGGAGGGTGCTGCCTATGTTGTCTTCTAGCAGTTTCCAAGTTTCAGGTTTTATATTGAGATCTTTGATGCATTTGGAGTTGACTTTTATGCAGGGTGAATGATAAAAGTAAAGTTTCATTTTTCCGCAGGTGGAGATCCGGATTTGCGAGCACCACTTGTTGAAGATGCTATCTTTCCTCCATTGTGTGTTCTTAGCACCTTTGTTGAATATCAGATGACTGAAATTACAGGAAATCAAGTTTGGGCCTTTTATTGTGTTCCATTGATCTACATGTCTATTTTTGTGTGAGTACCATGCTGTTTTGATGACTATCGCCTTGTAATACAATCTGAGATCTAGTATGGTTCTCCCAGCATTGTTCTTTTTGCCCAAGATGGTTTTGGCTATCTGAGCTCTTTTGTGATTCCATGTGAAGTTTAGGATTATTTTGTCAAGCTCTGTGAAAAATGTCATGGGTATTTTGATTTAGATTGCATTGAATCTATAAATTGCTTTTGGTAAGATGGTCATTTTCACAATATTGATTTTACCAATCCATGAGCATGGTAGGTCTTTCCATCTCCTAGTGTCTTCCTCGATCTCTTTCTTTAGAGTTTTGAAAAATTTTCATTGTAGAGATCTTTAATATTTTTGGTTAGGTTTATTCCTAAATATTTTTTGAGGCTATTGAGAATGGGAGGGTTTCCTCTAGTGCTTTTTTTAAATTGCTTGTTATTGGTATATAGAAAGGCTACTGACTTTTGTAAGTTGATTTTGTATCCTGCCACTTTTACTGAAAGCATTAATCAGTTCTAACAGTTTTGTATTGGAATTTTGGGGATCTCGTATATATAAAATATCATATTATCTGCAAATAGGGATATTGGTGCTCCTTTAATTTCCTTCTCTTGTCTTACTGCCCTAGCAAGTGTTTCAAGCACTACATTGAAAAGGAGTGGAGGTAGTGGACAGCCCTGTCTGGTTCCTTGGTTCCTGATTTTAATGGGAATGCTTCTAGTTTTCTCCATTTAGGATGATATAGTTTTGCATGTTGAGGCATGTTCCCTCCAGACCAACTCCTTCCAGGACTTTTAACATGAATGCATGCTGGATTTTGTGAAATGCCTTTACTGCATGAATTGAGAAGACCAGGTGGTTTTTGTCTTTAAGTCTGTTTATACATTTTATTA